CCATCGATGACAGAGTCCTATCTAACCACCTCTGTTAATGGCTCTGTGAAGAAAACATAGAGAAGACGTAAAAGAGGACACCCTTGTTGTACTCCAGACTCCTGGGGATTGAAATCCCCCAAGTCTTCTTACGTGGACCCTGCTGCCCACGTCGGAGTACAGTATCTTTATCCAGCGGCTGAAACACTCTCCAAAGATGAAGTGTTCCAGCACTCTGAACAGATACTGTAGCTGTGGTTTACTCTGTCAAAGGTGTACTCTTTCTCCTGATCCAGGCTCACCACCATCATGGGCATGTTCCGGTCCTCGGCCCAAGCCATGGTGTCTCTGGTGAGCTGGAGATTCCAGCTGATGGATTGCCCTTCCACCCCACACGTCTGGTCGCTGTTGATGATGTGGGGCAGGGTGGTCCTCAGTCTGCCAGTCAGTAGCTTGGAAAGGATCTTGACGTCCACACAGAGCATCACGATCAGCCTCCAGTTCTTGAGGTCTGCACCGTCCCCTTCCTTTGTAGGGCAGGGTGATGCCGAATTCCCTCATGGTGTCTCAGAGTTTCCCCTGACAGAAGATCTCCTGCACCACTTCCACCAGATGTCCCGCCAGCGACAGAAACAGGTGTAGAATTCCTTGGGCAGTCCGTCCAGCCCCGGTACCTTGCCATTCTACATGGACCAAAGCTCCACCTTCAGCTCCTACACCGTGATCGGACCCTTTAAATTTTCCCTCACCTCCTCCGATACTTTTGCCTTCAGCACCTTCAGAAAAGCGTTGCCTGCCTCCATCTCTGCTTTTCTGAAAATAGTTTTTTGTAGAAAGCGGTTGCTGCTTCTACTTTGTCGCTCTCGTCCAGCACTTTCCCTCCATCTCCCCCTCTCAGGCTTTGGATGACCCTCTTTTTCTGGGCTCCCTGGACCTGATTAAAGAAATAATTATTTTCATAATGCTCCTTTTGTGCCTTGGCTTTCTCGGTGTACAGGTTGCAGAGCCCCTCCTTCAAGTCCCATGCCCGGGCTTGAATTTATGGCTCCTCCCCCATTTGCTAAGCTTTATTCCTCCGCCTTGCAGCTTCCTTCCTTTCCCTGGGTGCCTGGGTCCTCTCCTTCACTGCTTCCCACCATTCCACCAGAGCTGTAGCTGCACTTCATATCAGCCCAGCTCTCATAGTGTTCCCGGAACAGTGCCCTGAAGCCGTCTTCCTCCAATATCTCCCGGTTCAGCTTCCAGTACTCTCGGCTGAATGCTGTCTGTTAGTGTTAGCCACCACTGTCATGCGGTCGTGGTCAGAATACCACACCGGGGACACTGCTGCTGACCAGGTGTGCATGAAGATGTAGTCCAGGAGGCTGTACACTCCCCAGGAGTTTCACCACATCGTTCCCGCGTCGCTTGGGCAACATTATCTGAAGCCAGTTAAAAGTTTTCTAAGATCTCATCCAATTGGCCATATTCCCTTCTGAGATGTCAGCAGGGTTGTAGACAAGGTCCCCCAGTCTAAAAGGGGTCCCCCATCAGCACAGATAATAGTACCACTTCTGACATACCCCCGCCTGAATCAGGCGGCTTCAGGGGAAGTCTGCTGCCTCGCAGGGCCTCCGTGAGTGAGCGTCTGCGTTTTGGTGGCGAGACCCCGCATGGTGCACAACTGTGAAGTCGTACTCCTGCAGGATCTCAATCCACCTCACAATTTGACCCCCTGAAGTTTAAACCAGGTCCTGAACAGATAGGGCTTGAAGTGGTGGACCGCCGAAACCACAGCCAGCAACTCCCTCCGGGTGATGCAATAATTTATCTCGGCCTTATTGAGCACCCGGCTAAAGTACGCGACGACCCTCTCCCCGTCTGGTCCCTCCTGTGCTAGCATTGCGCACACCCCCGTATCACTGGCGTCTGTATCTAGCACACAAGGCAGCATCGGATCCAGGAAGGCCAGGACGGCAGCCCCCACCAGTGCGTCCCACAGCCCCCGGAAGGCCACCTCACAGTCCGCAAAACACCGCCCCTTCTCCGTGCAGCGAGGCTGGTGAAGTTCCGGACAAACCTCCAGTAATAAGACGCCAACCCCAGGAAACTGTGGAGCTCCGCCACGGTGCGGGGCACCGGCCAGTTGTGCACTGCGGCAACCTTTCCCGGGTCCGTGGCCACCCTTCGCGGCCCGACCACATGCCCCAGGAAATTGACTTCCCGCTGCAGGAGTTTGCATTTTCCAGGGTTGAGCCTCAACCCGGCCTACCAGATGCAAGCCAACAGTAACCGGAGGTTCGCCAGGGCCTGCTCGGGTATGCACAAGTAAGTCGTCAAAGTACACCACGCACTCGCTCCATCAACAGCTCAAACTTTGCTGGGGCATTAAATAGTTCGAAAGGCATGACTGTGAACTGCCAGAGTCCTTGGCCGATGGAGAAGGCCGCCTTCGTGTAAGCCTCGGGGGCGAGTGGAACCTGCCAGTAACCACAGCGGTGATTGAGTGAGCTAAACCAGGTTGAAATGTAGTCCAGTGCATCGTCCATCTGGGGCAGCGGATAGGAGTCCTTCCGGATGACCTCGTTCAGCTTCTTGTAGTCCACACAAAACTTCCACGAGCGGTCCTTCTTCCGGACTAAAATGACCGAGGAAGACCACAAACTCGCGGAAGGCTTGATCACTCCCACTGCGGCCATCTCCCGAACCTTTTGCTCTGGCGGGGCAGAATGCGAATCGGTTGCGCATCCCCGGTCTCGATCCTGTGCCGTGTGAGAGCCGTGCGGGTGCAGTCCTCATCACTTGCCGAGAACAGATCTTTTGTTCTCGGCAAGGAGAGACCGCAGCCGCCGTTGCTGGTCTCGAGTGAGGCCCTCGCTGCTACGCCGCAGCACCTCACCCAGAGCATGCCTTATCTCCCTGTCGCGCTTGGCCCCCGCATTCCCCCCAGCAGCCACCCCGTCAACCACCAGGCCAGGCGGCCTAGGAGTCAGCTCTGACATGCTCTCCCCGATGCCCGCCGCAGCCACCTCTGCTTCCTGCTTCAGTTAGCCCGTGCTCTACGGAACCTACCACCCCACCTGCCGCAAGACAGATTCATTCCCCTTGCCCCACCAACTATCCCTGGCCAAGTCAAGGCAACCACCCACCTGCTGCAACCAGTCCAACACCAGGATGTAGTCCTCGCAGATTGGGGTGAGGTAGAAGGGTGCTTTACCAGGGAATAAATAAACCCTGGCTGTGGCCAACCCTTCCTACGGCAGCAGACGGGGTGAAATGCTCCTTCTGGCTCTCCGGAGCAGGGGTAGCGTCGTTCAAGGGCAGCCTCCCCCCCTTTAGGCCGCCCTGCTCCCATTCCACAGGGCTCTGGCACCCGGCAATCCCAGGTGAAGTGCCCCCTCTCCCCACAGCGGTGGCAGATGACCCCCCATCGTTGCTCCCCCAGCATCGCCGCGCTGACAATCTCCTCCTCCCTGTCTGATTCCCTGGGTGCCGCCACCACTGCCAAGCAGGGAGCGCCCCTCCAGTGGTGCCCACCAGTGGTGTTCTCCTTGAACACGGCATCAGCCTGCTCAGCCAGAGCCAGGGCCTGCTCCAAGTGGACCAGCGCAGCAAGCATCATGTGGCGCTGCAACTCAATTGGCGAAATGGCTCGAAGGAACGCCTGGAGCGCTATCTCCTGGCGGGCCTCCTCCGAGAGTAGTAGGGTAATCCTGGCGAGCTAAGTAGGCCACATCTGCAGCAACCGGCTCCAGTGGCTCTCCCGCCAGGCGGCGGAATTGGGCCAACCTTGCCCACAGCAGTCCCGGAGCCTCCCCTCTCCTTCCAAAACACCTCCAGAGGGCTGATGCCAACACCGCGAGTTGTATCGTTAGTCCCCGGGTACATCCAGCAGCGCCTGGCAGGCCTTCTCCTCCAGGACCACGGCAAGGTGGCCTGCCCGCCATCTCCATCTGAGAGCAGCCGTCATCTAGAACTGGGCCTCAAAAAGTTGCAATGGAACCTCCCCATTATATCGGCTCGATCGCACCGGCGGGGTGGCGGGCTAGACCCAGCTGGGCTGGCGTCTCCTTCCCGCCTGGTGCGTTGGCCGAGTCTGGCATCTCCTTCCGCCACATGGACTGAGGCAACATGGGAAAAGATTCCTCCTCTGCCAAGTAGGCCACTGTTGGGTAGCCCTGATAAGGGCTGTGGCCACCGGTGGTGCTGAGGGGCCGTTCCAGCCACTGGCGGCTGCTGCTCGCCCCCAAAAGGCACTTTTGCTGGGGGAACCCTGTTTTTCCGGGTCCGACATCAATGGCATCCTCCCGCTTCTGACACCAATGTAATATTGTCGAGTTTGGCGTGGACGGACACATACCCAGCACTCCCGGGTGGCAGTTGGATACAAGTATATCAGGGGTGCGAAACAAGGGAACTATTTACAAGAATCCGGACAATCTCACCAAACTGTACACCCGTTTTTCAGTGGGTCAGCTGCACTGGTCAGCGGCTTTCCTAGTCCCCGCCCTGACCACTACTACTCTCATCCTTCCCCTCGCTGCGTACCCCAGCCGGGTGCTCTTTGGCCGCAGCTCCAGGCGAATGCTCTACAATACTGTATATTAATTTAAAGCTTTCTTTTTTGTGATTATCTGTATTTATTTGTGAAAAGAAAATCAAATTCTTAAAAATCGAAATAGGAGATTTAATGATAGGTGTTTGTGTCCCCACGTGTTGCCTTATTTTTTCTCCGTAAACCGTATTCGCTCCAATAATATTAACCCCTTACCTTGTGCATATAGCGCAATTCAGTGATCAACAAGACATGTTCCTCTTCACAAATACTTAGTTACAGCTGTTATATTATAGGATATCCATAACTGTGTGATTGCTAGATTATTAGTCAGAAGAATCGACTCAATGGAGTAGATTTTAGTCTTTCTTTGTTAGTACATATCCATACTACGTTGGGCGCCCCCTTCGTCCCTATCGGCTCTTGTGCTTTGACATACTGTATGTTGTGAATAAAGTTTACTAGATTGAATTTACTCACTGCTGAATAAAAAAAAGATGGGAGTTGGGAGGAAGCTAGTGTGTTTCCGAAATAGAATTGTTTTCAAATTATTTTATTAACATTCTTTTTACTTCTTTATCTGTTTTTATATTTTTAAAATGGAGTCTTCCGTGTTTTCCGAAGATATGAACGAACCGAAGAAGATCTCCATAGTGGGGTCTGAGCTGGTGGAGAACTACACGGTATGTAACATAAAACATTAACTACATTCCACTGCTTACAAGCTGATAATCGTAATGTCTGCAACACTTCTCTGGTTTGTTTCTCCTGTTGTGGTGTACTGTATGTTGTTCTTGTTGTGGTAGTGCTACGTTGCGAAATTTATTTTGCAAGTGGTGGACTCTGCATTAGGTTTCACGGACTTGCATTTCTACGTTATATTGGTTGGTGTCACGGACTAAATTGGTTTTATAAGGGTTAAACCAGTAAGGTTCTAACAAAAAGTATAAAAAGAGGACAGGTATACATTAGATTATGTTTTAACTGTGACGCCTGTTACTCTTTATGACCGACTTCCTCAACCGAATCTGAAGGACTGTTTCATCTTCTTTAAAAGCCAGTTAGGTCCCCTTTTCGGGCCATAAAGGCCCATGGGGGAATGGGGGGGCAAGGGCCACCATTTTTCTTAACCATCCGACACTGGAAGTGGAGGTGATGTGGTCAGCATCACGTTCCGGCCGGCCTATTACCTCCAGAAGGCTTAACCCCTGTTACTCTTTTGTAAAGCAGGCTGAGTGGGCTTGGGAGGTGTCTGGAAGGAATTAGAGCAAGCTACGTCGCCTGCCCCTACCCTGGATTTTCTAGCCCATGCCGTCTGAGCTACCACGGCTGTATATTCACTATTGCAGAACATTATTCGCCATTTGAGTCTACAAGCCGTGCTATGTTGGCAAAATGCTATACTGAAGCTGTAAGGAAGTGGGAGCCAGCGTACGTCACTGCTGGAGAGCTGGAACCACAGCGCTGTGAAATGGTTGCTGCATTTTCAGTGTGTGCATGAGATCGGCTATGAATTTGCGTAGTTCGCAATTCTAATTTCATTGTTCAAAAATGAGTAATTATTAGCGCACATTGTGGCGCTTCTGACAATTTTTGTAATCATGCAGTAGAGAAGCATGATTGCTTGCTTCTGTTGGAACTTTGCCTCCACTCAAAGCTGAATAATAGACACAGTAAAACAGTTTTTCCATTTTATTTTTAATTCTGAGAAGTTTTCTTTTTACTGAGCCTGTTACTGATAGGTAGGATTTCACCACAAGAATTAAGATAAGATCACTTTATATGCCATATACAATTTCTTGCATTAGGAATTTGTCTTTTTCACATACCCCAGCTTGCTCTCCATGAGAGAAGCTTGGGGTCAGAGCACAGCCATTGTACAGTGCCCCTGGAGCAGTTGGGGTTAAGGGCCTTGCTCAGGGGCCCTACAGAGTACGATTCCTCTGCGAGCTGCGGGATTTGAACCGGCAACCTTTCCAACTACAGGCACAGATCCTTAGCCACAGCACCACTGCTCCGCCTTTAGCTTCTGATATTAAAAAATGAAGCTTGCATAATCTCCTGTGTGGGAGTTCAGAATAGCTCTTTGTGGAATCTCATATTTACAAGGATGACCGTGAATAACTATGCTAAGAACCAGATCTCTTATCTCAATTCATGTACTGTGTGAATGAGTGTGGAAAATGCAGTGTCACTATGTGTCAGTAATGTACAGACCTCTTATGTACCAATACTTTGTAGCACCCCCATTTTGGATGGATGGGTGTAAATTTGTGAGTTTTGCAGGTTCTGAAATTATTTCTGTTTTGTTATTTTAACCTAATCTGAGACTGAACAGTCAAAACATCTTTCATTTCTGCTTTTCCATGTAGTTTTCTACTTTTCAACCTTTAATTGTGACTTAGGTCATGATGCTGTTCTGATACTGTTTTACTGAATGAAATCAATGAAAACCACCAGTCTTATAGTTCTGTACAGTATGATTAATGAGTATATGTCACTTTTTAATTGTGCTTTTAAAGCAATGAGCAAAACAGAAATTCAAACCACAGGCACAATTCATTGCTTTATGATGTTCACACAGAACTCCTGGAGCATTATCATAAACAGGCTAATAGGTAGCCAGTCTTATTAAATCCTATTAAATTCTGATATTATATTCTGATCCAAAAGCTGTTTTAAAGGTATAAGTCTTATTTAAAAATAATTGTTTTAAAGGAAATTAGTTTATTTTTAATTTAAAAGTGTGCTGTAAATGCAAAAAAGTAAACTGAAATTACTACTCTTTTAAAAACAATGTTTTGCGGTGGCTAGCTAGCTGTGGCTGGATTTCATTGCTGTGCTCATATTTTTTGCAAACGATGAATTACATCACTGGTGGTATCACAAGATACTGTAATTTGTTAATGAGGTAAGAGTCAAGTCTGTAACATCCAGCACATGCTGCTGTCTTAAAATTGCTGTGCACTGGCTCCTGCAGCTATTTCCTGATATATGGTTTGTTGGAATTCTGAATTGCCATTTATATTTATTTGTTATCTCTGAAATTTATTGTGGGCTGTTTTCAGGTTTACATAATTGAGGTGAAGGTTGGGGACCACCAGTGGACACTCAAGCACCGCTATAGTGATTTTCATGATCTACACGAAAAGGTGAACCTTCCATAGTACTGTAATACTCTGCTATACATTATGTACTTTAATTTTCATCTGCCAGGTATTTGCCCCACTTTCAATTTTCCTCAGATTTTTGGTATCATCTGCAAACTAAACCAAGTTGCTAATTGTACCATAATCTATAGTATTAATATAAATCAGGAAAAGCAGTCCTGGTCTTAATACAGATCACTGTTTTACTCTGCTAATTACATCATCTCAATCAATTGGAGTATTTGCCCAATACTCTATTAAATGTTTTTTGTCCAACAATTTCCCCAATATTTACTTACAACAAAATTGGGGGAGAGCAGTTAAATAAAGTATACATGAGCAGTATGTAACACATACCTCACATTTAGATATGTCATGTGAGTTTTTCTTCTCTGTCACAGCTCTATTGATAATATATCAGACAATACTTGAATACAAGTCTATGTGTTTCAGAGGCCTGTGTCCTACACAGAAACCCAGAATATTTGTCCTGAAATACTATGCAAAGCCTTATCATACCAAAATCAGGGCTAAATCTCCTATTTTGGTACAAGGATGCCTAAAAGTGAATGGGAATCAGTCTTTATTTTAAAAATGCATCACTAAATTAGAAGGTAACCTTTTTGACTGAGAATTCCACTAAACAGTAAATTAGATTTTCTTAAATAGGATGCTCTCTAAAACATGGTCTCCAAGACTGGTCATGGGGCGGTGCAGTGGCTCTGTGACTAAGGATCTGCGCCTGTGGCTGGAAGTTTGCCATTGTGAATGTTATTTATTTTATGGCCAATACATGGATCCTTGGTTGTAACATTATTTTATGTACTGTACATGAATATCTTTTAACATTTGGTATTTTTTTAGCTTACTGCAGAAAAGAAGATAGACAAGAATCTGCTTCCGCCTAAGAAGATCATTGGTAAAAATTCTAAAACTTTGGTGGAGAAGAGGCAGAAAGAGCTTGAGGCCTATCTACAGACTCTGCTGCTCAAGTTCCCTGTGGTTGCTCCAAAAGTCTTATCCTGTTTTCTTCATTTCCACTTATATGTAAGTTTGCTTAGTTCTACTATTCAGTTGCATATTCAAGTTGCAATTGCAATGTAATAAAAGAAGCTGGCACACCTACAAACAGCAAAAACAAGGACACCCACCTTATTTGTCTGTGCTGTCGAAAGTAGTGTTTGTGCTGCTTTCGTTCCTTAAAAGAAGCATCTATTTTTTCAGGGATGTGATGTCAGTCCCCCCCATAACGGTACTGAAGAACCAAACTGGTCTCATTCATTTGTGCTCTCTCTGTGCTGGTTTGTGCTGTTGAAAGTAGCATCTGAGGTGCTCACATTCCTGAGATATAGTGCCTCCTTTTTCGGGGAGTGACATGACTCTCGTTGCAGTTGTAGGAATCTGAGTGATGTCACAATAGCAATACCAATAGCAGTGAACTTGGCTGCTGAATAAGTCTCCAGCTCCGTACTAAAAATGTTTTTAGTTGCAATGAACCCAAAGTAACTTCCCACTAAAGAACTGAACTAAGTACAGCTCTTGCTGTAGACTAAGTAATTTAATACCATAGGAAGCACAACACTGGATTGCATGGGAATCCAAATGTTGCAGCAGTAGCTTTTTACTAAAATAATATAATTAATAATAATGGCTTACACTTACACTTATATAGCGCTTTTCTGGACACTCCACTCAAAGCACTTTAAAGGTAATGGGGACTCCCCTCCACCACCACCATCAATGTGCAGCATCCACCTGGATGATGCGATGGCAGCCACAGTGCGCCAGAACACTCACCACACATCAGCTATCAGTGGGGAGGAGAGCAGAGTAATGAAGCCAATTCATAGATGGGGATTATTAGGAGGCCATGATTGGTAAGGGCCAGTGGGAAACTTGGCCAGGGGTTACACCCCTACTCTTTTCGAGAAGCGCCCTGGGATTTTTAATGACCACAGTGAGTCAGGACCTCAGTTTTACGTCTCATCCGAAGAACGGCGCCTGTTTACAGTATAGTGTCCCCATCACTATACTGGGGCATTAGGACCCACATGGACTGCAGGGTGAGCGCCCCCTGCTGGCCGGAACAGGGCCATGTAATATGATTATTATAATATGATAATCATTAATATGTAATGATTTTAAGCGTCTATTACTGTGAAATGTAATATTCAACTAATATTGCATTCCAACCAGAATGCAGTAGGCGTATGCCTTATCGTTTAGCCATGAATGAAGCTGTCAATAGTATTAAACCTACTAATGCATGTAAAGCCTGTAGTAAACAGCAATTATGAAATGTATATTTGGATAAACATTCTGGAGAAGGTTGCACACTAAAATCTACACAAATAGAAGTAAAAGTGACATGTGACTGGTAATTCTTAGAGGGCAGCAGGAACAGTGTGTTATTTTATGTAGTTAAATGTAAAGCTACATAAAAAAATAGATCCCTTGGATCAAACTTGAGTCTTCATTAGTTTGACCAATGGAAAATCTGGGTCATTATTAAAACTGGAAAGAGACAGCTAGTCCGAAGCATCAAGCTCAACAGACATAAATTGGGAAACACCTTCAGATCAGGTTCAACAAATCTAGCACATGAAAGTGCATGAGGTTTACATTTATAGTATTTTGTACACATAAATGTAGCCTAAGCCTGTTGTAAAAAATGAATTGCCAATGTGTTCTCTTAAGCATCTAACATGTCTCAGTCTGTCTCTTTTATTAATGAAAATGAAGGCCACTGTGATGTGTCTACTTATTTCAAGGTGCATTGAAATTGAGAAAATGTTGTATAGCTAGTTATGTGCCTTATCTGAAATATTTTAACATACATATTCTAAATGATTTTCCAATTCACGGTTACAGGGGAGCATTCCAGTAAGGAAAGGGCACATAGCACGGTACACCCTTGATGGGACACCAATCCATTGCAGGGTAGACACACAGACACAAACATGGACATGCACACTTTTAAACCTGGGGGAGTTTCCTTGCAGCCAGTTAACCTACCATTATGTTTTTGGACTGTAGGAGTAAACCAGAGCACCTGGAGGAAATCCACGTGAACATGGGGAGAACGTTAAAACTCCACATATATAACACCCAGGTTCATAACTGAACCATGGGCCCCAGCAGTGCAAGGAAGCAATGCTCACTACTGCTTTACCTGTGCTGCCCCATACATTTATTTATTAAACAATAACATTAAATTACTTTGAACATTCCATTTAAATACGTCAATATATACAGTATATTAATGGTGGTGCACATTTTAGCTTACTGGTTTGAATTCAAGGAGGTATACATCCACTAAAGGAAATAGATCCAGCGAGCAAATCTACATACAGTACATTACAGTCTTCTTTTTGGGCTCTAGGGCAACTAAAGGTGAACATTTTGAAAGTGGGTGGTGGCTTTCTGTACTCACTGTGTAGAGTGCTCTGCAAGGAGAAAGCAGGTCCTTTAATGACCTTCGAGTTCAATGCGTTTAGAAAGGAGGTCTGTGAGAGCAAAAATCACTTCAAAGTATCACTTCCTGCCACCTTGACCTGAAATTTCCTCATGCCATGGGAAGGAATGAAAGATGGGGACAACAGGCCACTGCCACCATTACAAGACCCTGGGATCAGGATGTACTGTATAGGAGGACTGAATTTATTTCCCTGCAGCTCTTCTTTAAAGAGCCCTGCCACAACATTCTACTTTTTCATAATGTTGTTGAACATCTTAGTTCTGTTACATTAGATACTCGCATGTAAAAATAATTTTAGTTAATATCCCACCTAAATCTGTATATATTTGTCTGTTCTTTACAGGAAATCAATGGAATCACAGCAGCACTGGCAGAAGAGCTATTTCACAAAGGTAAGGTGTTTAAAAATGATAAAAACTCTGGTTGTTGATGCTACAGAATATTGTCAGTATCCAAATTCGCAATGTGCTGTATAAAGAAAACAATTTCCTATAATAATTAATAATAATTCTTTACACTTACACTGATGATACTCCCCTCCACCACCACCAATGTGTAGCCCCCACCTGGATGATGCGACGGCGGCCAAAGTGCGCCAGTACGCTCACCACACATCAGCTCTCAGTGGGGAGAAGAACAGAGTGATGAAGTCAGTTCATAGTTAAGGATTATTAGGAGGTTTAATTGGTAAAGGCCACGGGAAGTTTGGCCAGAACACCAGGGTAATATCCCTACAGTTACATTATAATTGTCCTGCCTTAGTTTTGTTGTAGGAAGGATAGCTTAACTGCCAAACATGAACAAATAATGACCTGCTGAGTGTTCGTCCCCAGGAGAACAGCTGCTTGCAGCAGGACAGGTTTTCCTTCTGCGGCCCATGCAGTTATATGCCATCACTCAGCAGCTGAGACTGGCCAAACCTACATGTGCTAATGGAGACGCCAAGGCTGACCTTGGGCATATACTGGATTTTACATGCAGACTCAAATATCTGAAGGTATTCTTAACTGCTTTTTAACTGTAGTTCAGTGATAACTGAAAATGTGGTTACCAAAAGTAATTACTGCAGTATCCGCAGTGTACAATTTGTGTAAGATCAAGTTTTTTAAAAGTATTAAAAATATTCTATTATTTTCTGTAAGGCCATGTTTCCTTTTAAAAATCTGTCAGTTCACAAACATTCCTTCCTTTTTTTCATGCTCTTAGATCCCAGGCTCTAGAGGCACTGTGGGTACTAGCAACATTCAGGAGCACCTTCTCCCATTTGACTTATCAGTGTTTAAATCATTGCTTCACATAGAGGTAGGAAAAAACTTTATTCTGTTTAAGAAATCGGTACAAGAAAGGATGCTCCATTCTAACAGAAATGTTATTTTTTAACATATATTTTACCGTAATTCTTATGTCCCTTACTCTTATCATATGTTATTCATTGTAGATTGCCCACTGTGATTTCAAACAGATAAATGGACTTCCATCTTTAAAACAGACCTTGGCTACAATGAGTATTCATTACTCAGCATCATCAATGAAGGTTGGTCTTTAGATTTGTTTACCAACAAATACTTGAAAATAACAGGTACAGATGCAGCCATTCAAAGTGCGCGGTACAGACACGTACCGCAGGTAATTGGCTGCGGTATCGCGTATCATGACACAAGATGACGCGGTTCGTGATTGGTTGACCGACAGGGGCACTCGTGGTCCGTTGGTCTGTCGTAGAAAGACTTACTGTAAACGTCTTTACTGTGCCCGTTGTAGATATTGAATTTTACCACTGAA